AAGATTTTAGTTAATCATGTGTATTTGTTAATAATAAATATTACTGTAAATGATGAACAATTTCAATTAAATTGCACTTCATACGAATAATATATATAATGTTTATTTAACAACCATCAGAGATTATATAACGAATCGTGTAGTTAGATCATGAATAGTTCAGTGACTGTGAATATCAGAGATTTTCCCGGAATTTCGTGATCTCGCGAATACTGACATGCACCCTTTCCCGCCTCTGCTGCGATAGCTAAGGTCTCACGTGATCTACCGTAATTTTGGTGGATCGTGTCTCGCGTGCCTGCGGATGCCGTGCCACGACTTTTGCCGGTATCCGCGGCTACGCTTTCCTCTGTTGCTGTTTCAGGGAAGAAAGTAGTTGCCCGGTGATTAAATCGTCGAACGAGCCCGTTTCGTGACCTTTCAAGGGTCGTTAAGCTTAAATCAAACGGGTTTTTGTGATCATTGGGGACGTAAATTTTTAGCTATTAAGATCAAATTACATGTTTTATATTTGATAATAATTCAAAATATGGATTGTCAGATTTTGATTAGTTTTTAATTCGAACTCTGGCGAACAGGCCCGGTTTTTAAGGTCTGAAAGAAGTATTAAGATGTGTCCAGGGATCGGGTGTGAAAGGAGCCTAGATTGCCGAAAGAAATCGAGTAAAACAATTGTAGTGGAGATGGCGAACAATGCGATTCGTCAGCGGCGGGACACTCGGCAAACCCAATCGCGTTAGACAAAGAAAAATTCGGTCCCGCTCGAATAGAATCGTGGACGAGCGAATAGAGCGAAACCTATACGGAATAGAAATTGTGGCTCGAGTGGTTTCCCCGTGTATGGAACGAGCATCTAGTGAAAATCAACGATAATCAAATTGTTTCGCGAGAGAAAACAGTTTGAACGAAGGGACACCGGCTCGAGTGGCGGTTTTCCTGCGATGAACTCGGTTTTCCAAAATCGGTTTCCGTGTACGTATGAAAGCCCTCCGTGTAACGATGGAAATTGCAGGGAATAATGACACACGGCGGAAACGTAACCGCGAGGAATATCCGAAAACCTCGGGACCCGTGCGCATCGTAATAGGATCTTGAAAAGGGAAACAAATGGATCCAATTAACCACGTGGGATATTGAAAATATCGGAGAAAGTAATTAAAATGGCCCGCCTGGGTACATTTAACAAATTTACTAGCATGTTGTGTCGTCCCAGTTCTATTCCCTATGCAGATTGTAATTACGGAACGTCCGATGACATTGTCATAGTCGTTGAAAATAATCGCAGTACAAAATGTTGATTATCTAAAATAATCATACTACACGTTCGGATAATTAAACTATTCAAATAATTGCCTCGCATTAATTTTCGGTCTCTACAGCTTGTTAATTATAATTAGTTGTTCGAAAGTTCGTGTCGATTTTTGGTAGGTGGCATTATCAGAATATCTTTATAAAATGTCATTATTCATTGAGATTATTACGATATTTAACACATGTATTTCTCCGTTTAAAACCAGTTATTTTCACTGGAATTCGGAATTTCTAAAGAAATCGGCACGAACTCTCAGGACGAGCCAATATATTTTCATGTCCATTGTTATATAGCATTTTTTTAAACTTTCCTTGCACAGCACATTATGTGAATTATTTTCAGTAAGGAGTCTAATCATAACGCTGTGTCCATGTATCGTTAGTCGCACGTAGCACGCGAGTGCGATGACATACGCCGGTTTCTTCGACCATGTCTCTTACGACGATGGGCAAACAAACTGTTCCTGTCAGCGATGCCCGACCCGAACGATTTATATCCGCCCCACGTGAATTATCGATCTATTTGCGGCTTTCACCGAAATTTTTGCCGCGTTTTATTTTCGTTTCACCCACCGTCCTTGGCCCCCCGGAAGCGATTTCTCTTCACCATTCGTGTGAAATTTATATTATAGATCTTTGATATTTAAATATTTTCTTGTTCCCTTCGTGGAACGATTTACACCGCCAGACGATATATAGTTCAGTATCGTTTCAATTCGTCTCGAAGACCGAAATAGCGACATCAAAGTCGTGTAAAAATAGGGATAAAGATCTTTGTGATTAGATTGATTTTTAAAACTTTTGTGGTATCTCTTTAAAAAATAAAAAATTTCTATTATACGCTATCACAAGTTCTACTCGCTGCCTTTTCTTTGTATAAATGCTCATGCAATCTTAAGCCAGACAATGACTTGGATAATTGAAAATAAATGAAAGATCGATCCTTCGCCTTTAATTTAAAACAAAAATTTAGTCCCTACGATTTCTTCTCTAAATGTTACAGCGCTTTATAGAAACTCCTTAGACTCGTGCTAATACAATCTACTCATTAGGAAATTCGAATCCCGAACGCGATTTTATCCACTACTCAATCTCACTCTAATACGAGACCATGCCCTCATACACGAAATTTTAAACAAACCTCTCGTAATGACATCAGGAATAACTGAAAATTAAGGATGTTTCATAATTTTTATACATTTAATTTTCCCGTAAATCCATAAAATTTTCCATGATATACCATTTCTGTCTTGAGTAAGAAAATATCGTTTTCTAAATCGATGGTCAGTGAACTTAAATTCCGGGAATGGGGAAGTGAGAATCATACGGCAGAAACCTCGAGCATCTCGGAATTCGTGAAATCGCGGGGCACGATCGCCGGATTTATTTGTCTGTCATCGATTATCGAACCGTATTGGCCGTCGTTACTCCCATCCCGCCTTCCGAGTTCCGGAATCCTCGAATTCATTTCCCATTCGCGTACAAATGGATCTACCGGATGGATGAAATTTCCCGTCCCCGAGTTTCTCGCGAATCTCTCTATTTTCGAAGACCGTCGTCCTTGGTCTTCTACCTGCTGTTCCCTAGGCCACTTTACATGCTAATAACGTCTGGCAGCTATCTATCGCGCAGCTGTGTACAATTTTTCGAACCAATCTAACTGAAAACCCGTGTTTCTGGTTCGAGTTAATAAATTCTTCCTAGACAGACTCGTTACAGTCAAACGGAACGAGAGTCCTCTTATCTTATTTCACGCGACGCCTGTTTCTAATAAAGTTCCACTCTCTACATCTTTTCTCGACTTTTCAGTGATAATCGTAAACGAGGGGAAGCACTTCGACGCATCCTATCCAGTAAAATCAGAACGCGTTTCACTGATAAATCGATCGAGGATGCAACAAGCAAAACACAACCGCGTCAGTCGTCCAACCCTGTTCCAAGAGTTTTAATCGTTAATGCTACACAATGTTAGACTTCCGGTTAACGAGGCTAAAACCCAACTCCTGTCTCAATGAATCGAATAGCTGCGATGCCCGTTGAATCGAACGTCGTAAAGATAAACTGGTTCGCCATTCAAGCGATCTGAACGTTTATTATTGAACACGCCACCGGACTCGAGCCGAGCATCCAGATATTTAGAGCGTTCCCAGGTCTTCCTTGACTGCTCACGATGCGGATGCCAGATGGGAATCCTGCTTCCTCGCTTTCTAAACTTTTATCGTTGTTTTTATCGCGTTTCACATCGTCACATTTGTATCAACTTGTCAAATTTGTATATAATTTATATTTATGTATCAATTTGTTCGTGCAGGTTTATTGTGTCAATAGAAAATTTATTTTACGTGTATGACAAATAATGAGTTTTGTTAGAAGAAAAAATTATTTTTATTTCACAGGTGATATGGAGATTTTGGCGTACTTCTTCGGACCGATCGGCGTATTGCTGGCGGTGAATTTGCTGTTCTTCGCGGCGACAGCACGCGAGCTGACGTGCGGACTATGGAAAGGCGAGTTCGTGAAGAGCACCACAGAACGGTGAGTGAATTGCTCCAGTTCGATCAAACGTGGCACGAATCAAAGAGAACTGACTGTCTCTCAGCTCGTATAAACAATGATAAAGCATTGAAACTTTTATTAAATGTTATTTTAATAAAACACTAAACAATTTTAGAAATTTTGCTTTAAACTCGCTTCAAATATTGGACACAACTTTTTCATCATCTCTCTTACAATTAGACTTTTGGCCGAGGTCTTACGACTCATACAACCTTAAATTAACTTCGTGCCTTTTCCTTAGGATTCCCGCTCGGATATGAATATTTCCGAAAAGAAAAAATAATATTTACCTGTTAACTTTCAAGAGGAACGGTATTCTCGCCTAAATATTTATCAGACTTTTTCCACGAACATTTAACAATATTGCGGATGCATGTGCAATCTTTTTTTGCAAAATAATGGTCGGTATCATCGAGATCAGACGGTATGGAAAATTTCATATCCTATGATTTCGATAAAACCCGAATCATCTTATCGCGAAGTAATTTTCAGTTCTGTTGCTACATGGATTTTTTATACAAAAGAAGTCATCTATTTGTAACTGTTTATTTTTAAGGCTAATCTTGAGTAATATAATAGAACAACAACTACTTAAACGATAACGACGAAAAGATGTGGATCAGTGAGCTTAGAACTTTTCCGGTTACTTTAGATCCTAGATAGTTATCTCCCTCTGTCCTAAATTATCTGACGGTCCAATCTAAGCTATCTTTCCATTTTGGGCCAAGAGTCGGGTATCTAAGCGAATCAGCGAAGCAGATAAACCGAATTTTGTACTACGAAATGTTCCACGTCCTTGCGGATCACCGCGGGGCGAAATCGCGTTTCCCGACGTGGAAACTTTGAGCTCCCGGGTTTATTTGCACGGCAGTGACGATGCACAACGATTAGCAGAGGCGGCCGGGACGGAAACCGAGCTACCACCGTTTTATTGCTCGACGGCAAACTATGCTTTATTTCGGCGCGAAGGACGGCCGCTCGGGGCCGATAAATATCAAGGATAAACTGGTTCCCATCGCGCGCTACGGATAATCGAGATCAGCTAACGCTCAACCTCGAGACGTTTACTTAAATTAAGATATTCCTTGCCTTCTTCTCTTCCTCTTCTTCCGTGGTATATCCAACGAGCAATTACCCGGATGAATCGCCTCCCACAACTTCAAAATACTGCAACCATGTTTTTACTGGTGATGAACAAGAATTATCTTATCAGAATTTCAAGTACATCTCTTTGATTGAAACAAATATACAATAAAGAGCAAACCCGAACACCCTTTAAAGCTGAATAAGCTTTTTAAAATCGAATCAAGTGACCCGTGTTTTTGTTTACGAGAACTGGAAGTTTATATACCAATTCTTCTTCTTAAAACGAAGAAAATTAAATTGTCCCCTTGAGCAGTGGTGCCTAAAAATAGATTGCAGTTCAAGGGGTTAATTAAAAGATCGCATTATTTTTAGATGACTAACAAAGTAGCGAGTATAAGAAATTCCCGGAATGTGCGATAAGTCGTGGAACTCTGGTTGAACCTTCGAATTCTTTGAGGAGAACGTCGTCCGACCGGACGTGAAAATATCGTGCCGTCATGTCGCTTCTCGTTCCCATCGATCCCTGATACACAGGCGACGCGCAGTCGTTTGACGAATCACATTTTTTCGGATATTTATGCTCGGCAGGCGGCAGCTGTAGCAGTGGCGGTGGCCTTTTTACCGAACCGTCGGGGCTCAAAGGAGAATTTATTTTATCACGGCCCGCGCCGACAGATATCAGGCATCGAATCGTTATTTTCCATTCGTACGTACGTCGGGGGTCCCTTCGAACCACCTTTGCTACCCTCGTGCCGCGCGAAATTGATATTGACGATCTCAATTTGCGATTCTCTTTTCGTTCGCCGCTCCCTCCCTCACTTTCCCTCTCTGTGCTCGCCGTATCGGCGAAACGGGACCCGGCGTCCCGCTAAAAAATAGCGAATAGAGATTCTCTCGCGCGCACGCATCTGCTCATTCTTTTTTACGTAATTTCGATGAGCTCGCTCTTTTCCATACGCCATCCAGTTACGCTAATGCGAATATCCGCGCCGCTTTTTCGGCAGAGGCGATGAAAATTTAACGATTCGATCGCCTAACGCGAGGTTTACTCGTTTTAAAGAATTCTTGAGGGCAGGTATATTCGCACGAATTTATGAACCGAACAACTTGGGATGAAAATCGTTTAAATAAATAAGCCAAATCCTCTTTTTAAATATATAGTGAAGGGCAAAACTGAGCCAACACTTTTTAAAACTGAATAATTTTTCGAAAATCGGACCAAACGAAGCGAATATTCTTGGGTACTTAAATCGATTAGTTTCCTAAGTGATGTGTAAAAAAATTTCAAAAACTTGATTTGACAAAGCAAACAAAAATTTGAAAAAGCGATCTTCACTTTTTTTCTTACGACTTCAACGATCTTCAATTTTTCCAAAATTTTCTGTACACGTCATTTATTGGACTAATCTACTTAATTACTCAAAAAAAACGTAGGACGTTTGGTTAGTGAAGGAAGTTATTTAGTTTTGAAAGGCAATAGTTCAGTTTTGCTCTTCATTCTATTTGACACACGCTTGAAAAATAAATACATAAATATTGCTACAAACATTACCAATAATCCAGACGATAAAAAATCTAAAATTGTACGCACCGTAAAAAATATTCCAATAAATTTCGCCTAATCGCGAAACGTATGAAACCGAGATTTCAAACAGGATTCTATTCGAAAACAAAAAAGGATGGAAGGAGGAATAACAAACGTCAGAATCCAAAAATATCCCAACACCCGCGCGTCGCTAAATTCGTATGGAAATAAAAAAAAAAGCTCGGAAGAAAAAATCTCGTTTCATTCACAAACCGTTACGTGAATGGATCACGCGAGCGAGATTTAAAAGTCCGTGACTACCAAAATAAACGACGTCGCAAATAGAGCACGATCGTCGCACGTTTCGTTCGAAGAGAATAGAAAAAAGGATAAAAATATACGATTCTAAGGTAAATGTCCCAATTCCTGTTTCTCTATACTTTACCCAGGTTCAGAAGACGGCAAGGTTGGAAATCGTAAACGGCGATAAAACACGCGCTATAACCGTCAGATGATGCGGGCAAATGCAGTCGCGGTTGCGACGTTTCACTTCTTTTTCTTTTTTCACTATCCATCTTTCCCCCCGTTGTTTCTTTTAAAGTGAAGACTCGTGTACGCGCCGGAGATTCCGGATAGATCTGGCGAAACGGAAGTACCGTCGGAAAAAATGGCCAGATAGCTATTTTAGCGTCGAGTCTGTTACCTGCGCGGTGTCATTCCTTGGCTAATCCCTTCCAGGCCTGCAATAAATGAAATTTACGGCTACCGTATGGTAGGCCGTTACCGTCTTTTTATCCGCGGTCGAATCACCCGCGAGGGAATCACTTTCGTTTCTTTTATCGTCGGTAACAAAAAGACATTCTCATTTCATTCGAGTCACCGTTAATCCATTAACGCTTAGCTCGCAAGAAGCTCGCCCGATTCCGATCTCCTGTGTGGCTGCGAACTTTTTGCGAATCGCAATAATAGAATAGTTCCCATTCGCCTGCGGGGCATAATGTATAATAGCCTCCAGACGAAACTGATCCTCATTAAACGCGTTCCAGGGGAAAGGTGTATCGTCTCTCGACTTTTCTCTCTTTACCTCATGTTATTAATACGTCGATATTCCGAGTCTCAGGCACGGACGCTAACAATCCGTATCCACCCTTCTGTCTCGTTACGTCAATTAACTCGTCGCCATATCCCGCACCTCCTTTCCAAACGCGAGTGGCATTAATTTGAAGCATCGAACAAAAATACGGTTCGACTGTCCGTCCGTCGAAACGATTTTCTTTCAAGCTCCCTCGTTCGCCTCGTTATTCGTTGCCGCGTCGCGAGACCATTCCAATTTTGTTCTCCGCTTTTCTGTATAAACCGAACGCGTCAATGCGATTCTCTAAACACAGCGGTAACTTACAAAAGCGTGGCTCGAAGACAGACTGTTTGCATTGTCCGCGTTCCAAGCGGCGACAGGAAACGAGAGAAACGTCAATGCACAGAAGTCTTTCGATCCTCAGTTAAAAGAGGAACAAACAGCGACGAGGAGCACGTGCACAAGTTGGACCTGTCCCCTTCGTTCAAAGCCAATTCCCGACGGGCTTTGATCGGTTCTTAAAAGAAGATCTCTTAGCTCCTTCGATTCACAGGTGATCGACCGTTTGTTTGCATTCCATCGTGTCTCATTCTTATCACGCGCTTCCTCCTCAGTCGCTACATTGAAAGGCTCATCCTGCACAAACCATCAATTGTTAGGTTCGACGTGTTAACCTCGTGTCTAATTCGCTTTGCATATCATTAGACGTCACGATTTTCCACGCCTCTCGACAGGTTCTTTCCAGATGGGATTTAAATGATAGTAGGAGAAGTTCCCCAGGTGCCAGGCACTTACGATTTTTCTTAAATAAATAGGAAGAAGTAGTACTTGAGTCTTTCTGTTCTGTTTTATTTGTAAGTTGACAAAATTAGAAATCTAAATAAAGGAACAAAATAAACTTGTGGTATAACTTAAATAAACGTTGAACTTTGGTATACCTTGGCATACAGTTTTAGTATAATTTGCAGTGATCACAAATACGATTTGAAAATTTTGAGAATATTGGCATAAGCCTCGTGTATGCAGAACATCTTCTGGTTTTTCTTTTTTGGTTTGAATGTTTAAATCTTCTGAAACTTATCTCCTAAGTTTTTCTTTTCATTTTCTCTCTTTAATTAATCTCTATGCACACGTGACTGGAACGTGTCGGAATCTGGCCATTGTTTTTTCTACCTTCACCACCGTTTACGTGGGATAATTGTTCGCTAACATTTCAACGTTCATATATGTAGCTAACATGCGGTATTAAGTGCCATTCGGCGTTAGGGAACTTTCCCTACCTGTGGCTATCGGTGATGAATTTTTCAAACGCGTCCGAGACGGATGAAATTTTCATCCGAATATTAACCGATGACAGGCCATCGTCCCTGGTATAATGGACGATCGATAACAAATGGCTTGCAACATTAATGACGAAATCCCGACAATGTTTCCATTAGTCTTCCTTCCACAACTGACGTTGGCGCGGATATTTTGCGAATTTGAGAAATCGACTGTTCTACAGGAGTGGACATGCTTCTAAACTTACTTTCATTTCTCAAATTATCGTTGCATTGTTAACGCGAATTTAAACATTTTTATAATCATTAAACTGGTGATTTTTTTAGAACAAAGTTTGAAACAACTGAACGCATCGAACTGCTGTTTTTCTTTTTATTTCAACTCTAAACTGTAATTGCGAGAATGTGTACAGCACGGTCGCGTTGCGTCTCTTGTAGCCTTCTATTTTCGCTAATTGTTACGAGCAGCGAACATGCAAACATCCTGCGACTGCCAACCGGTCAAAAATACCGCCGCGACCAACCGCGACGAAAGAAGAGGGGTTGACCGAAAAGCCCCTCGTCGTCAATTAAAAGTACATACAGCCTGACACTGTTAAATTGCGGACAAAGAACAATTACGGACATACCGTTCAATTCAGCTCTATTAAATATAAAATGACATAAGAAATCTTTTAACTAAACGAAAAGAATAATCAATTATTTTATCAATTCAGACTGTTTGAGTCATGAGGAGCCTTGAAAGCTTTCGCATAGGAAATTGCAAAGAGTACTCGCGGCCTTTATAATTTCGCGACGCGACACCGTAACGGGCAACGGGCTGCGCGAATACTCAGCCGGAACGAATTAATAATGCTTTGACTTCGACCACAATGCGATGCATACATTACCCGTTGCGGCGCAGCGTGTCACGGCGAACAAACGGATACATTTGCGGCCTGATTTATGCCCGTCGTAATTGAACGCCGCTAATTGAATCGGGATGCTTTTTGTCGCCGGAAATTCGTCGTGGTACCTGCCGCGCTCGCGGAACAACAAAATTAAATAGACTTCTTTTGCGTGAATAGAGGAAAATGCTGTACGGACAAGAGGCGTTCTTGAATCACTGCCCTTAAGACAACTGTTGCCTAAATTGGAAATATTGAAAATTCTATGAAATTTTGTACTCGATTAACATAGGTACCAAAAAATATGTATAGAAAACCGTGGATCGATATAAGGAAGTGTAGTCTGATCTAAACCTAAGGTCCATTTTATGTGTTTCATTAAAACTTGTCAGAAGTGTTATTGAAATTTATTTTTAAGTCTTATCTTGACTACGGGAGAGCAGCAATTACCTCAAAATCTTTTTGGATTCGTGTCACAATAACATTCGTAAATCTAGACAGCTACTTTAAGAAATTCCTTTGTCCGTAAGGAATATGAATCGAACCCGTATCTCTCGGACGACTGCTTCAACCAATTAAGTTATTCAGACGTTCTCTTTAAACGTAATAAACCTTTCTCAATTCCCTTAATAGATCATAATCTAGCGCTTCTTCCCACTATTATCTATTTTCTCCGGTATCATTTTTCATCCTCTCACGAGAAATCGAATTCCTCTGTTACAGAGCGGCACTGGGCCGGGTGTGCATGAAGCTAGTGGTCGTGATGGGCGTCACCTGGGTAGCTGATGTGGTCTCCTGGGCAGTCGGTGGCCCCCAATACATCTGGTACTTCACGGACATGATAAACGCGTTCCAGGGCGTGCTGATCTTCGCGGTGGTTGGTTGCCAGCCGCAGGTCCGCGCCGCATTGAAGAGGCTCTGCAACAGGAATCCGAGGACGAACGCCGGAAGACAGGGAAACGGGCTGAGCACGACCAGCCACGGGATGCCGAGCATGGGCGACAGCGTCACTCAGAATCCCAGCACGAAGACCGCGCCGCTGGAGACCATCTGCTAGGCGATCCATCGCTACTTCCGGCATAGGATCTCTCCGACCGTGCATCGCTTCTCTTCGTAGAACAACACGTCAGTTTACCGATAAGACTCAGAATTCCGTGGACAGGGCATGTAGCCAGTGAAAGAACCGTGGAACACCGTAGGCCAGAGTTCACGGAAAAATAACACTGTATACGAAGCTCGTAGCGCACGTGAGCTACGCTCACGGAGTGGTACCGAGAAACACGATACTCCGTTCGTAGTTCGCGCAATACGATGAAAAATCGTTCTATCGGAAGGGGTTGTCGACCCCGAGACCGTGAACTTGAGCCGCTGAAGTTCCGAATGACTTTGCGAGTCGACTGTCCGCGTAGACGTTCCCGGCTCCATCCTCGCCGAGGAGTTCTCTTCTCTCGTTTGAGGGTCGTCGACCTTGGGAGAAGAAGAAACGAGGAGCCCGCGAAGAACCGACAGACGACCGCACGTGTCCCCGTGGACTAGACGAGCGGGGGAAACAGCAGCCTGTCACTTTGAATAGTTCATTGTCTCGGTAGGGAAACACAATGAGAGCAGAGAAAACAACGCGAAGCGACAAATATTCATAGAGAGACCCGTCCCGGTTCGAGTCCCTTCTCGAGGGAAAGACTCTCTTCTGTCCGGCTACTCGCGTCAGATCACGCGCTTACGTCGCGTTCATACCGCCCAGGTTCGTCCATCTTTTCTAAGCCTTAATACTCCTCTGACGCGAGCAACTCCGTTGCTCTATCTGTCGTTTGGTTTGGCGTGGACAAAAAGAAATTGAGACGAGATGCATGGCCGATACCAGACTGGCTTTGATATTAATAAATGGCGGGACAATGAGCGGGCATCGTCATCGATATTAATACTCATAAATGAGATGGCCAGTCGGGGAGTTCGTAATGAAAGGAAGTTACGGAGTTAACAATTTTATGATTTAACTCGTCACAGTTGTTCTGTGATAAAATCTAGTTACAAATAATACTAGCAATATGATGAGCAATAAGAACGGCAATATAATAACTGCTCTTTTTTTTTTTTTTTAATTAACTTTTGTTACAAGTTCCCCGATTTTATATCAACGACTCGGTGCAATAACGCCGTGGATCGTTTAATTTTCTATTTGAATTTTTATAACATGGAGACACAAATCGGGACCATGGGAAATCTCCAATAAATGAGTAATGAAAATTATGCGGTAAGATATTATGAAATCGGGACGGCCTTGACCCGTGCGGTATCGGGAAGGGAACGATGAATTCCGAGGTTTCTTCTTCGGCTCGGGCCACTTCATTATTCATCGAGCGTGCCTCGAGCCACGAGCGATCGCTCTTCAATTTCCTTTAGCATAAATTTGCATCAGCACCGTGGCCGACTACGATGCTGATGACCATTAACGTTGTACCATCAGGAGAAGCCAAACTGGCGTATGACCTCCTCGATATCAGCCACGCCATTCTCTTCAGGCGTTAACTGATTTTTATCGACGATGCCCTTTGTCCACGTGAAGAGACCAGACGACTCGCTTTCTTATCAAACCATAGAGTTTGATAGGATCCGTCACGTCCAATTAATGATATCGGCTATGGACTGTGAGAAGGGGCTCGAAGGAAAATATCCGCACTGCCAAAATCGATTTCGATGACAGAGAAGCAACAGATTTCGTTCGCTAGTTGTATGTAACACTTTTTATAAGACTTTACATGTTTCTAATTACGTCAGTAGGTAACACCGAAAGCACAACGAAGCCTCGTTTTATACGTATTCGTTAGGATTAACGATCTTTTGATACTTTTAATACCGCAGAAAACGTAGTGAACTAATAAGGTGGAATCGATTGAAGAAGAACGTTTCTCTTTTCTTTTTGTTTTGTTCAAATGAGTCACGCTTACACGAAATCATGCGTAGGTAGGTCAGGGCATATAATGGACGACAACTCGTGACAATACACACTAGAAATTCAATGCCTTCTGAAATGCCTTCCAAACGTGGTGTTCAACGTGCCGAATTGTATACAATGGGGAAACCAAGCTGGAGACCAGGTGAAGTCTCGCGTGCGACCGCGTGCCGAGATTACCATTTCTCCGCGCGATTCCCGGCGACATTCCCCCGACAGATTCATTCAGCCACCTTGCAACGAATTAATAATAATGCGAAGGTTGATTCGTCTCAAGCACTCCAGAACAAGTTTAGAGCGTTTAGTACTTCAGAACAGTTTTAATACGACTGACACAGCTTTACAACAGCTCTTATGAAAAGAAAATAAAAATGTATACTTTCACAGACGAGTGCTTTTTTAAATTTTTGATGAAACATAAATGTAATATTAAATTTTGATTAGAACAAACGTCGTGGGGAATTACGGATGTAATTGCGCGCCGTATAAAAACCGTCTCACGTGTACGTAGTGTTAGTACCTCGCACTCGAGTTTTCTATTCTTTAAACCACGTGTACCGCGTAGTTCCCGACGCGTGAACGGGGTGTAGAGTAATCATTGTCATTGTTTCTTCAGGTGCATCCAAGAGACTGAGCCGCGTACCCTTAGCTCATGTTAACCGAAACTATCTGAACTCCCCACGAAGATACGTTCGTTTGTTTTACAAATAGAAACTTGTTACGTGTCAACGTCAAATTGGAATTATTCAATATTGATTAAAACTCTCTTGTTTAAGCAAGAGTAGTTATCGATGAATCCTCGTAAGAGAACAGATAGTTTTGCAAGACTACGTTAGTTCCTTTTCATCACGTATGAATGAGAGTGGATGCGCAAGGTCGTCAATTGATCTTTTCCAAATAAGCCACGTGAAACCTTTGACGACGTTCGCGTTATCCACGTTGCGTGCATGTCGTGCTTGCCCGCACGTAGAGAGTAATAATTATTGCGTGATAGTGTACGAGCGTATGCGCACCGTGTAATTAGTGTATCAGCGAACAGTAATAAATCCCTTCGGTGTGATCGCGGCCACGTAACAATGCGTGACGAGTCGATGACAATTGCCGTTATTTTACATCTGCAAGTCCATTCAAGGATCGCTAAATTAATCGCGTCGTTACGCATTGTCCGCAATCGCGTTTCCTTGTAGATAACTCATCATTATGTTACATGTAATTAAAGCGTACCGGAGTTGAGCCGCGTTAATCAAACGATAACGCAGCTGCGATCGCGGCTCGCATTTGCATATAAGTTATTTCGTATGCGACCAGCTTTAAAAAAAACGTTTTTTTGAGATATCTTGTTTATGCGTGACAAAGCTTGTCGCAGAACGAACATCGGTGTACATTAAACTCAACATTCATACTCGATAGGTGAAGTAGTTAGGATAATCAGTGAGATAAAAAGGGCGTAGCCTTAAACTAATTTATTCGAAGTAGATAGTCGTTGTTGACGCATTGAACAATAAGAGAAACGTGAACGTATATTATATATATGTAGTATATACGTACGTACGTAAACAGTAGCTTGCCAGTATAGAGAAGTACATATATTAAGAGAAAATTTGTGAATCGTAAGTAAGTAGATGAAAGAACGACTCTGGTGATAGCGAGAGAAGATCCTAAATAGCGGTCGACCGTAAAATTGAGGACCGCGTGCCTTCGCGTAATTTACGTGCGCGTATTCGCAGCGTGGAAAAGCCAACGATGAATTTAAACATCGGAGACGCCTCCTAGCCGCGGTGGAACGCGCCTCGGTATGCCGGGATAAATTGGAAAGTCGCCGACTTGAAATTTTTATGAATCGCAGAGTCGTTCCTGGTAAAATACTCGATCCGATTTCGCTGGATCGTTCGCGAGGTATATAGTAGGTTTTGGCCAAAATAGTTTATGACTTTTGTTCGTATACGTTTCGCCCGATACGAGGGAGAGAATGAAAGGAATCAGTTTCGTTCGAAATTGTTGGGAGGAGACACGGAGGCTAATATAAAGAGACAATAGTATTAACTCGTCAAGCGTATTAGAGACGAGTTTAGAGACGAGCTCGTCTTGACTCGGTGTAACCATGTAGAGGCAACAGTCGGATTATCATGATAGAGAAATTTATGATTACAACGACCCTGTATTATGGCCGATCGTACACCATTCCTGTACAATGTATTGTAACAGTATTTACTATCGCACTAATGGTAATAAACGATAACTGTTAGTACGTTTCTGTCTTGTACCCTCCCTATCCCTAGATGAACGTGTAAACTAGTATAAAAAAATGTGAAGCAATTGAAGTTAACCAAAAAGATTACGCGTAATAATACTTATATACCATTCGCTTCGTCTCAAGATTTGATGCAAAGGCTCTGTCGCGCGTGTCTTCAGTAAGTAAATTGATTACGCCAGTAATCTTGTAACGACGTTTACCAGGGGGTATGCTTCATCAATTCGGTAGTGAGAAGTTTGGAGCTGGACGAACCCTTCCTAATTCAATCACACAACTTCCCTGTCATGGACTCTGACATTAGTTGAGCCAGCCAAAACAGAAACTTCGACTGCGTTCTAAGTTAGAGACAATTACTCCCGTTCTTACTAAACGAATGAATTTTACATGTAGCCACAATCGAATTATCCTTTGTCGTGAGTAAACTCCGAGATACGTATAAAATTGTCATTTTTATCGAAAGGAATGTGAATTAAAACTACTATAGAGTTAGTTGTAAAATACTTTATTTGGAATAGTTCCTAATTAAATCCTAACTGTATTCTGTACAGATGTACTTCGTATGTGATATATTAAACGCAAAATGGCATACGGAGTGACACCCTGAATTCGACTAGCCGCTGCAATCTGTAACACGAAAATAATAGTATTATTTGAACAATCAATAATGATTCATTTATAGTCGAATGCTTACCGTACAAGGCTGCAGTTCTGTAAGTTTTTCCTTCTCCTCCACGGATAGGTTTAATTGGCGCCTGTATAAAGAAACGATTGATCGTTAAGAAAAACACAATGGATTGATACACATTGGTATAATACTTTTTTATTCAGAATCTGGTATTTCATTGAAATTCAAGAAAAAATACTGTGTATTCGAAGTCCTGCTACGAGACTCACCCTGTACATTGACAATATCCATTTCACGTAATTAAACTTACATGTTATAGTCTATGGATGGCGGTATGATCATCTGCTCGTTCTTGCGAATTTCATTGACCTCTTGCTGCTGTTGTTCAATACTCCCTGCGTAAAGCCCTTCTATCTGTAAGATCAATTGATCGGTCATAATAATCGGCAATAAAGACTACTGATTTACTCGTGACTGACAATGTCACTCCGTCTCGACGATGAACAGTAAGCAATGTAAATTGTTATGACTTGTTCGTACCTTTAGTCTTCGCACGACCATTGGATCCTGGGCGAGATGTCCAAAGCAATCTGGAAGCGCTTGAATAATCATGTCAATATTTATTTCGATATTCCGTAGCAACTCAAAAGCGGATTTTTGATTGGTATTCTTCGTAAGTGGTAGCTTTAATAATCTCTGCCACTTCTCCATGGGCATTCTAATATCGTTAAACAATTTTATATTTTCTTCTAATCTGGATAAAATCGCTTCAGTCTTTATCAGCCTCTCTTCAGACACGCAACCATAGTCGTATCCTTTCCTAGTCAACCTTCGATCCGCGTTATCCGGACGTAGGCTCAATCGAAATTCCGCGCGACTAGTGAACATTCTGTACGGTTCATTCGTACCTAGTACAGTAAGGTCGTCGATCAGAACTCCGATGTATCCTTCTGTTCGACTTATTATCATCGGCTTCTTGTGGAGAACCTGAAAAATGAAGATTTAGGAATAGAATGCAAATCTCACCGATACTGACACGGGAAATATATGACAAATACTACATTGAAGGAACCTTAGCTGCGGCATTGACACCGGCCACGATTCCTTGCGCTGCGGCTTCCTCGTAACCGGTTGTACCATTAATTTGGCCAGCGAGAAACAGTCCTGGAATTTTCTTTGTCTCTAACGTAGGATTTAATTCTCTTGGGTCGATGTAATCGTACTCAACCCCATATCCGGGACTTGCTATTGATTTATGAAAACGTCTCAAACTGATCGAAAACAGTATTATTTATAAACGCTTACCCATTTTGGCATTTTCTAATCCCGGGATGCAATTGATAAGCTCCTGTTGCTTCTCAGCAGGCAACGTGCACGACAACCCACCGGGGTAAACTAACGGCGAATCCAGTCCCTCGGGTTCTAGCCAGATTAAATGATTATTTGCCGGGAATTTCAGAACTTTACTTTCAATACTTGGACAATAGCGTGGTCCTGTTATCTCCTCCGTAACGTGTGAATTACAATGTAAATTGTCATTTATAATTTTCTGAACACCTTCGTTTGTATTAGTTTGGTAGCAAGGTATCTGTTTCTCCACGGGTAGCCAAACCGTTTCATTCATAAACGAAAATGGTTTGGATACTTTATCTGGTAATTGTATACGGCATTTAGAAAAATCTATCGTCGACTTTTCTATCCGCGGCGGAGTACCTATTAAAAGCAGACATTTTTTATTTTTAATTTATGAATAAAGTATAAGACAATTACCAGTTTTCAATCTTCCTATTCTAAATCCGATTCTTTCTAATGTATTGGCTAATCCGATGCTAGGTTCGTCACCGAGCCTGCCAGCAGGCCTCTTCTCTAAACCAATATTAATTTGTCCCTTTAAAAATGTACCCGTCGTTATGACGACCGCATCGCTGTATATTTTCGTTCCATCCTCTGCAATATAATTTTCATAAATGTAGTTTCTTCAAACATAATGATATGCATTTGATTCTAAATGACAATTACTAAGAATTATTCCATGGCATGTTGGAGAATCTCCTTGGATGATTAAATCTTCTACGGAAGATTCATATATTTGTAAACCGGGTGTATTGAACAATTCTTGTTGAAGATGTTTCTTGTATAAAACACGATCAATTTGAGCTCTGTAGCCCCATACGGCAGGTCCTTTGGATCTATTCAACATCGTATAATTAATGCCTGAGATATCACATATACGACAACAGACTCCATCCAAAGCATCTACTTCTCTCATGAGATTTCCCTTTCCAATTCCACCAAAAGATGGATTACACGACATTTCTCCTATAAAAATGAGATTGTTCATTTTACATTGTTTAGTATTAAAAGATGAATAGACTTTATACCTATTGTACTCTTTTTATGGGTGATAAGTAGCGTGTTTGCACCCATTCTAGCTGCAGCTGCACAAGCCTCTGTTCCAGCATGACCACCACCAATGACAACAACATCGAACTTGCACTCATGATTGTTCGATGAGAAATTTCTTATAAATTGTAAATATCTTTGTCTAAAATTTCTGCTTAATGCAGATAATTTCATATTTTTTAGATTCATTCTATTAGAGTATCCTAGGACAGAAAATGAAATATTTTATCAAAAGTCATTAAATTGTTTATTTTAATAATCGTGTATACATGACAGTTTCAATATACAAATACATGAAGATATATTAATGCTTATGATATAAAAAATTCATGAGCTTTTAACTTTATAAATAAGGAATTGTATCTCACTGCATCTCTAATTCTTGGTAGTATTAATTTATCGCACATAGTTTCTTTGTCTACAAAATCCATATCCATATATTTTAACTTATTCATAAACTCTATGACAAAATTATAACAATTCATTGAAAGTTCATTATAATTCTCAGACCTCCATTTAGAGTCTTTTAACATTGCTTTTAGTGTTTCATTCCAATGATTATCCCACGATGAAGGGATTATGCTTATTGCAATGCAACTCGTCCATCTAGAGCAATCATTAATGATTAGACCTTCTTTGTCATATTCAAAAACAATTCCTTGAGAATTTGATATTCCTATGTGCAAGTCATGGGCAATATCATAATTAGTTAAAAAATCTCCTCGAGATGGTCTTACAACTACAGCATTCGGTTCATGCATGGCATTAGCATATGGATATGGAATAACAAAAGGTTCTACTTCAAAATTCACAATAAGTAACTTGCAAAGAGGACATACATCTAGGATATTTTTACAAAATATACTTTTCGAACAGCAATGACGAAAACATAATATTCTGGTGTCAGAATCCATAATAAATGGGAATTGTAGGTTAGGATAGATATCCTTGAGGATAAGAATCAAAATACTTTCAAAAGTAACATCGCGTTGTTGATTTCGTATTTCGATTGATGCACGTGAACGCTATAAATGAAATACACTATGATAAATATATCTTACAGTAAATAATTGGACACCAAGTAAACGTTTACTGTACGATTTTGTGAAATGCATGCAACTGTTGGCAAAAGCAGTTACATCATTTATCAATAGCAGATATACATAGAAAGATATTAAAATGTAATATAAAGGGATACGAAATATGGGTTCATGTTTAGTAGACAATAAGTTCTAATGCTTTATTATATGTTTATAATGCAAATTCTTTACGTATCATCGACTGACGATATTATAAGACTTCAGCTTTATTGATTGCAAATCAAGGAATTCGTATGTCGTCAAATAATCTCTTATTACTTGATATCTGAGAGGATAGTAATTGTTTAGTCTATCAAATTTTTACATTCGAATTCAATAGATTACTCCAATATTTGTATTTCGTTACAAGAATATGTACAATTTCACACGTTAATAGGTTGTTCTCTGACGTTCATGGATTCCATAATTATTTTTATTCATAGCCCTTAATGAGAATTTAATTTAAGATTTGAAATAATAATTTTTAATTTCCCAAATACTCAATTTTACACTTGACTAGTGCGTTCCCAGCGCGGCGTTCCCCCACCATACGGTAGTTGGGACTTGGACCACGCGCCGCGGAAGCGCTGCAATAGTAGCAGCTGATCCATGGTGCGGTGCGGAGAGGAGCAGTCGTGTTCGTGCCGCGTTTCGTAGTGTGTTTGTACCGGTACGCGTACACAAACGTTTCTCCTCGCCGTTCCGTTTCGTTCATAGTGAATCTCGCGCACGGACTCGTGACAGGTGACCGTACCGAACCTTGGTATTCGACCGATTCCGCGGCTTACACGTTGCGAAACTAGTGAAAGGCGAGGGAAGACGAGCAGGGAGACGGCGACGCAGAAGGGACGAGCAACGAGGATTCCTCACGGCGCCGTTTAACCCGAAAAATTGGTGAGTCTTTGATGTTCAACGTATGCATAGTATTCGCGAAAAAACAGTTAAGACTTGTGATACATGATCTGTCTCGAGAACGACCGTACAAGGCGCACACGTGAGACTCGCGTACCCTTTGGAGGTGACTGACACCTGATGCGTCAATGACCACGCCACGCGTATGAGTCGCGTGCACTTTCGTCCTCTCCGAGCATTTGGCTTAATTTCAAGATAGGTAATCGTAACCACGCGTCGCGGAACGTCAGTGTGACGCAATTATCTCGCATAGATACGCATGACACAATAATGTTCATTCAGGATGAGAAACAGTCGCGTGTTTTTGTTATCTGTATGTCGCGACGTGAAGTCAAGATACGTAGGTTATATCATAGAATGCCAGCTTTTTTAGTCGTGGGACGGGAGTGGTCTCATCCCACGACAGATAATTTTAACGCGTAAGTCCTTCACTGTGCATATGTACGCTTAACCGCATGTATCATTAGTCGCCGATCTATTCAGTGACGCTCAATTCACGTTCTCTATCGAGATCAATAATATTTTATGTGCTCCGTTTCCGTACTCGGCATACGGTACATTTGTGTTCAGGGTCACGCGTTTGCCGTTGTAGCGGACCTACGTACACGACACAAGCTCGTTAAGAGCTTCTTCGGGAGTAAGTTTGTTTACGTTGTCCCAAGGAATTAATTTTTCTGTGGGTCACTTGTACGTTCTCAATGAGCTCGCGAGCTTCTGTCCTTGAGTTCTTTTGAACCCACTTCAAACACAGATTACCAGTTATAAATAAGTGCGATATTTTTATATTTTTTCCTTTCTGTCTTTTTATTATTGATAAGTTGTATTTCTTTTTTTGTAAAGTTGCGCAACTTTATAAAATAGTTGCGAGACATTCCGTTTTTCGATTACTGAGAAATCGTACGTTTACTCCGCTGTATAATAGAATCGATTGACATAGGTTGATACATATTTTCTTCTAGAGCATGGGCGAAAATAGCTAGGTGATTGCCTGCAAGGAACAACGTACGTTTTAGATGAATTATTGCGCGTCACATGACGTTGACGAGTAAACGAGGGTTTACCGTTAACATCCGGTCGAAGCCCGCACGCTTTATTTACGTTAACTTCCTGTGTAATTCGATCAGTCATACAATTATATCATACATATATATCATTCGATATGTCATACAATTATAATGTACACAACAACGCGTGCACTTAACAGAAGTGGAAAATGTTGCGTGCATAAAACAAAAGGCAAACATTCGCATTTTTAGTATATTTTATTTGCTAATCTGAATAAAATAAAGGGGAGTTAACAAAAAAATGGCGAAAAAGATGAAAGAATGCGTGTGCGCGCAACGAATGCGGAATTGTGGCTGTAAATTTTCTGAAGTTTCGCACGCGTGCTCACGTGCCCCGCTGGTGAAACTGTATGGTAATTTCAAACGAGCGGCGCATCCCCCCCGGGTGCTTCGTTTAAATTTCATTATCTCGAACACCGTCTAAATGACACGACTCCCGTTGCCAAACGACACCAGCGAAACTTACCTCGTCTTCATTCAAAGCCAATTAGGTGATGACAATTACCGCCATTATCATTCACTATCAGACCGTAAAACTTATGAATTTCATATAGTTTTAATTCTATTACCAGGGCGTATTCGTTATTTGAAATTTGTTTTCGGTAATCGCTTCAATTAATCAGCTTTTCCTCGTCAGTAATTATTTGCACGAATAACGTAAGCGCATTTCGAATTGTCAGCGTATATTGCTCTGCACAATGGACCAGTTTCCAATATTTAAGCGCGATACACCGCCGACGAGCTTGTCCATAAATCAGGAAGTGCACGCGAGTACGCACGGGATAGTTACGCCCTCCCGTAATGTGCACGTGCATATTCGGAAAGTCATAGACTTATTATTATTAATATCTTAAGAAGTTGGCTTCTTAGTATTTATTCTATAACATGAAATTTTAAGTAAAGATCCAAAATAAGTGTTGTACATCATTTCTTGTACACAAAAAATCATTGACGAAAAATTGTCTTTTATGTATGCGGTATGTAACAATTGTTAACTTTAGCAAGAACTTTTAAGGAGACGAAATAATTAAGAAATATTTGGTACGAATTATTTTGCTTATGTATTTCTTTGGTTGTCGGTAATTGTTATTCTTGATGAAAATTGTTATTGATTGTGAATAACTTATTAATGATAGAAGTTACTTTTAATTACGAATAACTCCTATCGCTGGCGAGAATTAATTTTTGCTCACCGATAAGCATTATTGTCGGTGACGAGAGTTTCGTTTCGTTTCGGTCAGGTCAGGAGATCAATATCGACGCGCAGGATTTTTATTTTGGTTTTTCGACAACCAATATCGGCCGCAGGTGTTTTGCTTTGGTTACTTTCAATCAATTCTTTAGTTAGAAAAAGCAATTTCATTCTTGAATGAATGGCAATTAATGACACTGATTTTATACAGTAATTTAATAAAAAATGCAAATGATTTATCGTATTAATTTGATAAATACAATAAATTCCCTCTAATTCATTTAAATTATATAAATTCTATTATTCATAGTTCATAAATAATGATTGTTAGTATAATATGAATAAGAGAATTGATGAGGATCAAAAGTGAGCAAAATTATCAGTGCAGATGTAATTAAATTTCACAGGATAGTTTAACGTTTGAGGTAACAAAATATATTCAATCCAGGTAGTCCATTGGGATATCTTTGAAGAGATTAACATTTGTAACAATATCAATGTTCGTATTACGTAGCCATTAACGTGTGTACCTCTCAAGCGGTAGCAACAAACGGATATCCGGTTACTTATAGTCGCTTTGTCCGCCCCTCGCCTGGAGGAATATTCGCTTTGCTAATGTTCCCGATACTCGAACATGACACCGCTCGGTATTCGTCGAGATCGAGCATAAATCACTCGACTGTACACGTTCTAGGATTCGAAGGACAATCGTGCATCCCGTTCGATACATGTCGCCATGGGTATCGTAATTCGACAGGATCCTTTGGGAGAATCCCGACTTGTTGCTTGGAAACGTGATTAGAATATTATTTCTTTCCAGAAATGGTTAAATACATTGACAAATCGTGAGAGTATTATATAGACGTGTCCTAATTTCTGTTCATGTCACAATTCCTACTTATTGGCTTACGATTACATATAAAATGATAGAAAAAGAAGCCAGTGAGTAGGAATTGTTACGTGAACAGAAATTGGGTCACTCATGTAAGGTCTACAATGTACGAGTATTCTGAATTGTGAATGCTTTGTCTTTGTTTCTATGTAAACAGTTGGAATATTTTATTTTCAAGTCAATACTTAATAAAAATGATTGATATAATATTGCATCGTTATTAAATTACATATGTATATGTATAATAGAAGCAATCTTTCAATCAAACCAATTATTATCAACCGGGTACTCCAGAAAACTGGGTCGTTGACCAAAAAGAAAATTCTTGTTATCCCGAGAATGCAGTGTTACGTCACTCTTGTTTACATTCCATGCAGAACAGATAACGCGAGAACTTGATTCGATCTCGTAGCAGGTAACTCGTAATCGGGAACCTGTCAAGTACTTTCACGCTGAGATTTAGTCGAGTGCAAAACGGCGAACTAGTTCTGCGCGATTAATTCGCGGGCGTGATTCCTCACAAGTTTGAATTTCAATTCTCCTCTATTTCGTTTATAGAATTCTTGTACCGCTAGGTTCGGAGTTGTTTTCAGGATTGAAAAGGAGAAACGAAACGGAGAGATTCTTTTTGTCGGAACAGGATTGTCGAGTGGCGAGGTAAAAGCTCGGTGGAAAATCTTTGTGGGTTTTCCGCGTTGACAAATGGTTGTTCCGAGGGTTAATAAAGCAATCTTCGTCGCACGAGTGTATTTTTACTACGCCGTGAATCAATCGTCAGTCTTTTAACAACCGACCTTGTTTAATAATTCCAACCCTCTGGTTAATATCGTGCTGTACGTTCTTTAAGAATTATTCGCAATCTCATTGTATGACCCTATTCGCTGGTACCGATCATTA